ACTTGCTGGAAGATAAGTTAGAACTATTGAAGGTATTGGAATAGGAAAAGACTTTATGAACAAATCCTCAGTAGCAGGGGAACTAGCACAAAGAATCAACAATTGGGATCTCATCTTTTTAAAAAGCTTTTGCACTGCAAAAGAAACCACCAACAGAGCTAAGAGACAACTTACAATGTGGGAAAAAATTTTTACCAGCTGTTTCTCAGACAAAGGTCTACTATCTAGAATATATAAAGAACTAAAAAAAAAAATCAGACCCCCCCAAATATAAAGACCCAGCTATTTAAAAAATGGGCACCTAAAATGAACAGACATTTCTCAAATAAAAGCAGCAAATAACATATAAGAAAATTTTCAACATCACTGTTCATTCAAGAGATGCAGGTGAAAACAATGCTGAGATTCTACCTCAGCCCAGAAAGAATGGCTGCTATCAAGAAATTAACCAATAACAAATGCTGGCAAGGTTGCAGGGAGAAAGGAACCCTTTTTCATTGTTGGTGGGAGTGCAGACTGGTGCAACCACTGTGGAAATCGATATGGAGATATCTTAAACACTAGGATTGCAAGTCCCATTTGACCCAGCCATTCCTCTGCTGGGTATCTTTCCAAAAGAAAAGAATCATACCACAGTGATATATGCTCACCCATGTTTATAGTTGCACAGTTTGTAATAGCTAAAACTTGGAAACAGCCCAATTGCCCATCAACTGGAGACTGGACAAAGAAGTTGTTTTTTTAAAAAATATAAAATGGAGTACTATTCAGCCATAAAGAATGAGAAACTAGAAATATGTATAGCTAAGTGGATGCACATTGAGGCCATACTCTTAAGTGAAATAAATAGGACACATATGTGTACATACTGAATAGTTTCTCTGGTGTAAAAAACTAAAAGTGTAAATAAGGATCAAAATATATAATTTATATTGTATAATAGGAAGAAAAAGTCTAAAAGAGTAGGGGAAGTGGGAGGAGTAGGGGAAAGGTAAAAAGGGAAAAGAAATAATATGAGAAAGGGAAAAACACGGAAACAGTGTCTTTGTAAACAGGAAAGGGGTTGAGGAGAGGGCTGGGAATGGGAAAAAAATAACACGATAAGTCATGTAAAGGTACAAGATCCCCATGATGAATGTAACTGTATTATATACCTAAAATATACCTATAACCTTAATAATAAAAAATTTTAACATTCACTGTATAGCCTGATCAGATATATACAATGAAATATCCTGCATCTGAAGAAAAGGACATTCAGGCATATACTGCAACATCAATGAAACTTATGCTCAGTTAAATAAGCCATTCACAAATGGAATCTAGAGTAGTCAAATACAAGGAGACATAATGTAGCATGGATATTGCCAGGGACCAGCAAAGGAGGAATGGGAAGCTATTGTTCAATGGATAAAATTTCAGTTATGCAAGATGAAAAGAACTGTGGAGATTGGTTATATAACAATGTGAGTATAAGCACCACTCCTGAACCATACCCTTAAAAATGGTTAAAGTGGTATATTTTATGTATATTTTCCACAATAAAAAAGACACATTTGGGGGCAACTAGAGAAATTTGGGAATTAGATGATGCCAGTGAATTATCATGAATTTCTCTAAGTACGATAGTGGCACAGTGGTTATGTAGGAAGTCTTCTGTAACTGTCATCAAACAATTCTAAAGTATATTGATAAGAAATGACTTATTCTGGGATTTTCTGTTAGGTACCTAAGCAAATTAGAATAGAAACATTTGAAAGGGTTTGTAAAGTAAATGTGACTGTAACCCTTAGAAGTGTAGGAGTTGAAGTCGAGGACCGGACTCACTGACTATGGACAAGGACAGAAGTGCATCTGCAGTTCTGCTGGGAGCCTCAGACGTGCCTGACGGGGTGCTTGGCTCCTCAGCCAATCAAGGCAGCAGGAGTGAATGTCCTCCCTCACCAAAGCACAAGCAGTTTTTTTAGTGGACAAAGAAATCTATATGGGGCTGGAAAATGGTGAGCAGTGGACGGCTGGAGGCTGCCTATTCAAACCAGGCTGGAGTGGTTCCAAAATCCAGAAGGTGGACTTAGGAGTCACAGAACAGATCACAGATAAGGCCACTGGGTTTGCAGGTGGGAGAAGAGGGAGCTCATATAACTTTAAAAGAACATTGTTCTTGCCAGCTGCCATTTGCTGAGTGATACAGGACAAATGTTCTAGTCCTGGGGACTTGTGGCTCTGGGACAAAATGGAGTAAACACACTTTTCACTATTCCTTCTGCTATATACAGCAAAACATCCTGGGCATTATTTATAACAAAAGCAGAATCTGAAAGGAGGAGAGTAGGAGATACAATGGTTAGGGTTGGGACCTGTGTGATGACATACTGCTTGCTGTTTCTTGGTTATCTTTTCTTCTTCACAAACATTAGAGCGTTCTGGAGAAGGTAGCATCTGAGAAACTGAGTACAAAGGAAAAAGGTCTCTATGCCTCAAGATATTGAACTTACACGATTATATCAGCAGGCTCCCCTTGCCCACTGGTTTGCTGTTGGTTTGGGGCCATGTATGGCCCAGCAGGAGGTCATAGAGCAGGAAGAGAATGAAGTCAGGGTATTTATCACTTCGCTCTTCCCTTGTGTGTTGCTGACCACTGACTAGTTCTCTCTATGAAAGCCGTGATAGACAGAGACAATTTTGGGTTGTGTCTATTTTAGTTTCACTTATTTATTTTTTTACTTCACTCACTATATTGTTAATTTCTAGGATTTAAAGATGTCATCTTTGAAGGTCATGTCTTAATAGTAGTATTACTTCATCTCTGAACATTTTAAACATATACAGTCATTTTCAGGGAGTTCTATCACCACTTATTCATTCATAGGAACTCTTCCATTTATTGCTTCTGTTATGCCCTTTCCTTTCCTTATATGCTCTTTTTTTTTTTTTTTTTTTTTT